TTTGCAGGGCTCGAAATGTTGGCGATTTGGCCACAGCATGAAAGGATGCAGATCAAAGACTAGATGTCGTCTGTGCGGAGAGATTCATGACAGCCGCGATTGCAAATCTGATGACCAGAAGTGCTGCTTGTGTAATGGAGAGCACCCAGAAGACTCTGCTGAATGTGTCGCAAAAGAAAGAGAACTGGTTGTTCTAAAAATGATAGAACGCAGGCGTTGCTTTAGGAGAGAGGCGGTGGCAGAAATGCATGAAAGATCAAAAGGATACGCAGGCATAACATCCCGGCACACAGCTGCAATGGATGCATTGCTCGCAATGTCGATAACTGACGTCATTGAAAAGTCTACTGAAAAGGCAATGCAGCGTCTGGCAGCTACTCTTTTTGAAGCATTGGCTAATATGTTAACACAACAGCTGAAACAAATCATTGGTACAGTTTATGTGCAAAATCGAGATTCTCAGGCTTTGTTGATTTCAAGAAGTACAGAGGAGGAAAAGCTGACAGTTAATCATAGATCCATCTCTCCGAAAGCAAGACCTTCTAAAAATATAGTTCAGGCTGAGTGAGAACGTGTGACAGATGATTCAGGAGACTTTATAGATATGGACACAGAATCTCAAAAGACTTTGAAACGTAACAGATCTACCCCTTCAGAAAAAGTCTTCTCAGAACTCAAAATCCAAAAAATACCTGTCAAAGAAGGACTTCTTTGAGAACCTTTAAAAAAATGATTTTTTGAAAAAAGAAATTCAGGATCCGGCAGTTTCTACTGCTGGTATAGCATCGAAATAGGTTCACTAAAATTCTGCAGTGGAATTGCCGGACTTTTTGGTCGGCAACTAGAGCTTTATAATATATTTCTTCGCACTTTTCTCCCGACATAATTGCCATTCAGGAAACCTGACTTGCTAATGGTAAACATTTTTACCTGAAAATTTATCAATTAATCCGGCTGGATCAGACGAGTAGGGGTGGTGGTCTGGCTTTCCTAATATCAACGAAGTTTAGTCACAGAGCCAAGATATTGTATCAGTGTATGGACACGAATTACGAAATTCTGGTGTTAGGCATAACACTATCAGACTGCTCACCTTTTTCTTTTGCAAATGTATACTTTCATGCAGGAGTTAAGGACACGAGATGCCTCGATATTATATTAGCTTCATGCAGAAAAGAAAAGTATGTACAAATAAAAAAATTCAATTCACACCATGTGTCTTGGGGCTTCAGGTCTGATTTATGTGGAAGACGTTTGTGGGAATGGACGCTTGATAAGAACTTTTCCTGCTTGAACTCACACGCAGCTACATTTGTTAGAGGTAACTCTCTCTCAACTATAGATTTAACATTTTCCAGCTCCACTTTAAGCATATATTCATGGAATATCTTAGATTGTGCTACTAACAGCAACCACCTTCCCAGTAGTTTTGAAATTAAGTTCCCGTGGTTTAGTTTGGCTGGGAAAGTTGCCTCATTTGTAAATTATGCTAAATTACAAAAAGACTTAAAATCTACGCTAAATTTTCGCGAGAAAATGCAGCAAGACATTAGGGGTATTAGTCTGTGTGTGGTATTGAAATGATCATTACGAAATTCAACGTTTACATTAGACTTGAACAGAACGGGATCTTTTAGCCCGTGGTGGAATGTAGAATGTGTCAGGGGGTATAGAAAGCGAAAAGCGGCTTGGAAAAAGCTGTTAATTAACCAATGCTCAGAAACTGGTGTCCTTATAAAGTTCTGGCCGCTAATTTAAGCGTACAGTACGCAAAGCAAAGGAAGACTATGATATGAATAAATTTAATTATCTGTCTGTCTAAAAATAAGAAAGCGCTTTTCAGGTTTTTACGTGCGAGAAAAATGATTCCACAGACAGAAAGCAGTCATTTTAACATTATGTCTCCTTGCGAACTCTCTGAATTTTTGGAAAATATTGCTAAAGGCTTGCAAACCAGGTTTACGACAATTATGCCAAAGTCCATGGTGAAATTAAGGGTGAATTGTGATTTCCAGGAGGTAACTTTAGCTGAACTGGCGGATGTGATGAAGAGCTTATCGCCCGCTGCTTCCGGACCTGATGGGGTGACCTCTGCAATTATTGAAGTGCTATACGAAATATCGCCACATGAAATCCGTAATATAGGTAGCTATTCACCTAAAAATTGTTGGATTCTGGCAGATTGGAAGCTTTCCAAAATAATTCCGATACTAAATAAAAAGGGAATGGAGTTTACTCTGGATAACATAAGGCCAATTTCATTCACGTCTAAGCTGGTCAAACTTATAGAGAGAGTCTTGAATGCCCGTGTAATGAACTATATCAATGAACATACAATAATAAACACCAGACAAATTGGCTTTAGATCGGGATACTCCATTTGGTGTGCACATGTAGATTTGGAAAGTCGCATACAGCTGGACCAGCATCGCCGCGAATACTGTGCACTAGTCACTCTAGACGTAGCTAAAGCGTACGATAAAGTGGAGTATCCTATCCTAATCCAGCAGATGTAAGACTATCGCTATCCAAAATATATAAAAGACAGAGAATTTTATTGCTTCTTGGGTGGATGCTCTTCTAAAAAATATAAGCAGACACGAGTTGTACCTCAGGGCTCAGTATTACCCCTGTTTTATTCAATATATTACTAAGTTCCATTTCAACTCATCGGGATATTCAAATTTACGTGTATGCAGATAATATTGCTTTCTTTGCAACAAACAGTGATCTGCACTCATTGTATCAGGTATTACAGAATTACATAAACATGCTAGAAGCATGGCTTGACTATATCCATATGTCATTGACCGTCAAAAAAAGTGCGCTACTACCGTTCTCATTTACGGATCTTGTGAAGATTTCTCTGATGTATCGGTACGATCTCATTCCCCAGGTCGATTCTCTGAAGTACCTAAGCATCGTATTTAATATAACACTAAATTTGAAAAGCCACATAGACGAGGTTGGCAGTAAAGCGTCACGTGCCTTGGGGTGGTGACGAAAATTGGGAAACAGAAAAACAGGATTGCGAAGGAGTTCATTGATAATTATTTACAAGACGTATGTGTGGCCTACTATGGAATTCGGGTACGTATTATTTTCTGGCAGCGCGGCATACAATATGAGACAGTTAATATTATTAGAAAAGAATAAGCTTTGCGCGTGTGTCTCGGACTCCCCAAATTTGTTGCAAATAATGTTTTGTATGTGGAAGCGCATCTTCCACCTTTGTTAACTCGCTTTCGAATACTTACTGTTCAAACTTTCTTTAAAATATACAATTCGCCTCTGAGACAAGTGTCTTACGTTTTTATTCAAGAACATGCAAGCGTATTCTTCGCAACACTATGGTTTAGACTACACTCGCCTCAGATTAGGTTTGTCCAAGCGCTGCTAGAACCTCTGAATGTAAATATCTATCACTTTACCTCAACGAAGATGACTAATTCAAAACTTCAAATAGAATTTGATGATATTTTTTCCCTCTAATGTGAAACAAATGCCCCTTCAATAATTAAATTATCAGTTACAAGATTACTTGACTCATCTATCCATAAAAAACAGTATTGCGACAGATGCATCCCTATTAAACGAAAAGGCTGGAATACGCATATTCTTTACTTCTCTCGACTGGCCTTTTTCAGTTCGATTACCAGATAACACGCCTATATTCATCGCTGAATTATTTGCTATAATTCTAGCACTTCGTAAACTTCCATCAAGCAGATCAAAAGCAGTCATACTTATTCTCTCTTTGTATGCACTGCACTATCTTAAGCAAAAAATTTGACATTATTGAGTATGATTAGTAGTTTATTACCAGCAAACCTGAGAAAATTCTACTTGCTATGGGTACCTGGCCACTGCGGTATTTGTCCAAATGAGATGGCAAACTCGTTAGCCAAAGCATCTTTAAACGGACCGCTCTTACTTATTTTAGCGGATTTCACTTATGTAACAGCACTCATATATAGAAATGCTTCCTTGCACAAGGAAATAGAAAAAATTATCATTAGATAAAGTCAGAGACTTCGTACATCCAAGATTTTGCTGGAACAAACAGTGGTGTGTATCTCGGCAGTTAGAAATTACAACCACCAGAATACGATGCGGAATTCCGCACCTGAATTATTACCTACATAAAGCTTAACTCACAGCATCTCCGTTATGTTTTTTGTGCAAGGAATTAGAATCAATAGATTATTTCTTTTTATTCTGTCATCGATATTCTAATCAAAGGAAAAGATACCTCATCGAACCAATTGAGAAGCTAGGTTTAAAAATAAACGTGGCAGTAATTTTATCTTTCGGAGGGATTACATTAGGTCATAGCCACAGGGCGGTTTGCTCTGCTGTATGTGCGTACATAATGACAACAAAATGATTACCTTGTTATTCTATTGTTATTGATATTTTTGGCTCCGAGACTGCCTTAATGCCTGACTGCTAGCTCGTGTAGAATTTTCACACATTTTTTACGATTTGTTTTTGCTTTATACTGAAATTCTATTTAATGAGTTTAAATGCATAAATAACTCACTTGATGATCCTGCCACCCGGTTCTTGGACGATCCCCCTTTGTGGGCGAGTGCAAGCAAAACAAAAGGCTAATCATCAACATCATCATCATCAACAACCATGTGTCTTCGCCTTTATCTGCATCTGTCAGCGGCACGCTCTTTAGGTGGAGAAAATCATCATCACCGCTGAAGCAGGTGAAAGGACTTTATAGAACAGCTTCGAGCACAAGAACCCACGGTGATCTTAATCTCAGTGCAAGACCACAAGAGACAATGAGCTTCTTCGACGACGTAGTAGACGCTTTCATCGACACGTGTGATTCACGCGTGAGGACTTGGCCACTGATGGGAAATCCCACAACGATGCTACTCTTGGTGACAGGCTACGTCACGCTCTCCATCTGGTGGGCTCCATGGTTCATGCGCAGCCGAGGGCCATTTCACGTTCGCGGGTTGGTCCGAGCGTACGATCTCGCGATGGTCCTCTGGAACGCCTACTTCGCCGTTGCCATGGCGCGGTTGTCCTACTTTCACGAAGACGAACAGAAGCGCTACAGCTGGCTTTGTCAGGGACCAAACTACACACGCAGAGGGCTACCCTTACTCAGCCTGGCCTGGTGGTACCTCATCATGAAGATCGTCGATCTCTTCGATACGGCGACTTTCGTGATGACCAAGAGAATGAGTCACCTGACCACGCTGCACGTATTCCACCACGTCTGCGTCATAGGTGTCATGTGGATGTCGGTTCAAACTGGTGTCCTGGGGCAGAACGTTTTCCCCATGATTGTCAACTCCCTGGTAAACGTGCCGACGTACTCGTACTACTTCCTCGCAACGTTTGGACCCGTAGCGCGCAACTGGCTTTGGTGGAAACGCTACCTGACTGAGCTTCAGATTGCGCAGCTCGCGTCCTTCGCCATCTTTGGAGCCGTGCCTCTGTTCGTGGACTGCGGATTCCCGCGATGGATGGCGCTAATTATGACTGGCATTCCGCTGGTGCTGCTGGTCATGTTTTGTGGCTTTTATCGACGGTCGTACTCGGCCAAGAGGAGCATCGGGTGGCTGGAAGAGTGTTGTGACGTTGAGGCTCACTCGAAACGTGGTTGATAGCCCCGTGCATAGACTAGTGAGTCGTCTTGCGTAAAATAAATGTATGGCGTGGAAGAGGCTTATAGCAGATCTTTTTCACGTGCTCGACTTAAGACAGTGCCGTGTATGTTGTATATGTGTTGAGCCGATATGTATCAGGGGGTAAGAGTTCCAGTTGTAGCAACATCCGCTACACATTATTCCGGGTCACACCTTTCGGTTTGGCAATACTTCGGCACACGTTTTCGAAGCTGTAGCGTCGTGACAGTTCCCTTTGAAACGGTTGCATAATTCCGAAGGACTCCTCAGTTGTATGTTTTGATTAGTAACGATACCTACTCTCTTTTTTTCAGGGAAGTGAAGTCCAGTTCTGTGAAGTTAATTGACAGTGTTTATTTTTAATCGCTCTTGGCCTTACATTACCTAACACCCGGTTTTGTCCGATTTAAGTGTGATTTGACAGTATGTACGTTGTGTGGTCCGATTACAGTGAGCGAGAAAAAGAAAGGACTGCATTTCCTCGATGAGGTGGCAACTTTCAGGCACACATTTGACTCACCCCCGTATTCTAGAACGTCCCTTCACTCAACGCGTCACCTTCACTTAAGAAAGCCGATGGGAGCGCCGTCTCTAGGCACGACAAGTCACTGCATATCAGCGATAATCTGCTGCGATTCTTGAGTAGCCCAGCGTCATCTTCAGCCGAGTGGTGGCGCAGTGTTGAACTCTGTTAAGTGAAGGCTGAAAGTCGAGTCGAGGAGCGTTTGTGAATACGGGGGTAAGTCGTTGCCAAGCTAGCCACTAGATAACCGCGGTCGTTGCCATGCTAGCCACTAGATTACCCCGAAAACGATCACTCGAGAATGCCCCCTCTGTGCTCCCGTTGCACCCGACAAGTAATGAATGAATCCCATGTGCCACTTGAGACAATGGTGAGGCAACGCCACGTAGAGAGTGAGTTTTTATGGTGTTCGCAGGGCGGCCAATCACCGACTCCGGAAAGTTTTTTTTTATTATTATTAAAGCAGCTCCGCCTCAGTAGTGCTGAGCCTGTAGGAAAGTGTGCAGTTGGGCAGCCTTCCTTGTTTGTTTGATTGTTTGTTTGTTTGATTGTTTGTTTGTTTGTAGCCTGGAAATCAGGGCACTCACTCATTTTTGGGTATTGGCCAAGAAAACATATAGTATCCTATGGACGGTAACTGCACCATTGCTTACCAAAAAAAAAATATTGTACAAGAAGGAAGACATCACAAAAAAAAGATCCAGGGGGTGAGAAACAGAAGAAGGTGTCAGCGGCACTCGAGTTCGCACAGCTGAATTCTCCGGCAGCGTCTCATTCTCCGGCAGCGTCTCCGTGCTTGCACGGGAAACGCTGCACTGCGTTAACGTGGACTCCGAGCCCTGAGTGCGTCCACTCGACGCGGTTGCCCATTGGTTCAACGAACATTCAAAAAACAAAAAGTGAACCTTCGAGCCGGGACCGCATAGCAACGCATCGCCAGAGAGAGGAGAACGAGCCGAGAGCGAGCCGAGGCGCGTGTGGCGTCGGACGTATCCGATCGAGCTCCTGCACCGAGTCCAGTTTCCTTATACATGTAACCTCTGCCGATTCACCTGTAACTTAGCACAATACAGGTTTTTTCTTAAAATTTGAACCTTGCCTTGACTACATTCATTCGGACATCGCTGAGATGGCGCAGCCGACAAGTTGTGAATCGACCGAGCTGCAGGCGAAGGAGGAAACGACGCCACGAGAAGGAGCGACGCCACGCCGTACATCGTCTCGGGACTCCGAAACGACCATCGTCGAAAGCATGTTCACGACCCTCGACCACAGCACGATGGCCAATGCAACGAAAAAGCAACTCGTCGACGAGCTGAGAGCACGAAGTCTACGGCGCTCCGGACGAAAGGACGAGCTCATCGCAAGAATCATCCGCGACAACATCACTCGCCAAGCCCTAGAGCCGACGGACTCGTCAACGAAGGACCAGGCTGCCTACGACGACGACAGGCAGGCGCACCTGGAGACACTGTCCGCCGACAACGCGAGGCTTTGCGCTGAACTGAGCAACCTGCGAGCCCAGCTTAACCGTGCGACCACGAGTGAACGTGAGACATTGCACGAAGCCCATCATAACGCTTCACTGCCACCGGAATGGGTGACAACTTCAACCCTCGGGCTGCACCATTCCGTCCCTGCTGACATAACGATGTCCTCGGGTTCGACGCGGCCACCGTCACTGAACGACGGCACCAACCAAGACGCGGCACGCCTCGCCACGCCGACCGTTTCAATGCACGAGGGAGAACCTTCCATGGCCCAGATCTTCGCCGCGCTCGTGAACACACAAGCCCTGCTCGCCAACACACTGTCGAGAGGTCCACCGACGACGAGCCCGATCCATATTCATTCCACAAGCGACACGTCATCCTCAATCCCCTTGTTCGATAGGACGCCGCACCAAAGTGCTCGCGAATGGATTACGCAAGTGGACAGAATCGCAGCGCTCGCCCACTGGACGCCATCGCTGACGTTGGTGACAGCAGCAAGCCGCTTTACGGGATCTGCCAAGGATTGGCACAGCGTCTACGGCTCACAGTATGACACCTGGGAGCAATGGAAAGAAGCGCTCATTCTCCGATTCAAACGAAAGCTGACAATGCAGGAGTTCCTCGAACTGCAGACGAAGCGACGCCTTCAGAGCCACGAGACCATCGTCGAGTACGTGTACTCGAAGAACGCCATTCTGAACAAGGCGCCGTACCGTTTAGCAGAGGAAGAACGAATTTCCCTCATTCTCAGCGGCATCGAGGACGACACATGGGCCAACCCACTCGCAGCGCTGCTGTGTGGCACAGTAACTGAACTCATTGACAGAGCGGCTTTGCTCGACGCGAGGCGTCGCACGACCGTGTGTGCCGAGAACGACAAGAAACCGTCATCGTCTACAGCGAGCCGTGGTCAGGGTTCGAACAAGCGGGTGCCAGCCAGCAGCTCTGCCAACTTGCCGAAGGTCAACCCGCGCAGCGATTTCTCGGGAGCTCCACACCCGCGGCTCATCTCTGCTCGTTCGTGCTTCATTTGCGGTGACATCGGTCACCTGTCCCGTGATTGTAGAAAGCCGAAAACGCCAGCAACGATCAGAGCGGACGAGAAACGAGCGAAGAGGGACAATAGCAGCCACGAAACAGGGACTACGTCACCTAGGCAAGCGAACTGTTTTTTTTGCATTCGATGGGCGGCACATTACCAATAGTGTCTGGTACTGCTAACAACCGACCCGTCCGCGTGTGCATTGACAGTGGCGCCAACTTATCTACCATGAGTGCCAATGCCTTGACGGACGACATTCCCACGCACGCATGGGTATCGCGCGATAACATTGAAGTTCTCAACCGCAGCATTAGCCCAACTCTCGCTGCAACGCTTGAGGCACCACGAATGTGCGACTCGAAGACGTCGTGGTAACGGAACTGCGCAGCGGCCTCGACCTGATTCTGAGATCACACTGGCGACGAGTCGCGAACGTCGACGTAACATTTCACACGTCAAACGATGTGACTATCGTTCCAGTCAAGCCCCCCGGAAAACTTTCATCGTCCGAAGTGCCACCCCCGAAACAAGGCACAACACACCGCACCGGGGAAACGCTTATTGCGACGTTCTGCCGGCAATCAGAAGAGAGTGTTTCCAAAGACGAAGGGTACGTGCGCCTCAACACGAAATGTCCCGCACCCGACGAAGACTTCACAAGTCTAGTCGAAGACGCCACACGGAAGATAACGAAGGATGCCACCGAGGCAGAGAGGGAACAACTTCACGCAATTCTGTTCATGCATCACCAAGCAATCACTTCCAAAGGCGACACTTTGGGCGTGTGTCCTCACATTGAACACAGCATCGAACTCAGAGACAATATACCAGTGTCATCGAGGCCGTACGGGTGCTCACCGGCTGATCGCAAGTTCATCCGAGAACAGGTGAATGACTACCTCTCCAGGGGCATCATAAGGCCGAGCGAAAGCGAGTACGGTGCTCCGGCGATGGTCGTCGACCAACCGCACCACCCGACGACTCCACGAAGAATGGTACACGACTATCGCGAGCTCAACGAGAAAACCATCAACCATTCTTATCCAATGCCTGTCATGCAAGACGTTATTGACGATGTCATGCGCGACGGATCGGCTTACTTCACTGTGTTGGACGTGAAGACGGCATTTCTGACTATAAGAATGAAGCCAGACGACGTACACAGGACCGCATTCGTCACTCCAGACGGAAAGTACGAATACCTTCGAATGGCCTTTGGGTTTTGCAAGGCCCCTCAGACCATGCAAAGAGTAATGCGTCGCACGTTCGATGGCTTACCTAGGACAGCTACGTACATGGACGATGTCGGGCAGGGAGCCACAACAGTTAGGGAGGCTTTGGATTTGCTGAACGAAGCACTCAGGATAGTCGTGATCAACGGCTTGAAGATGGATCTCCGGAAATGCCAGTTGATTCAAGACAAAGTATCTTTCCTGGGTTACGTGATCTTTGCCGAAGGACGAACACTGGACGAATCCAGAGTTGCCGCTGTCGAGAAGTTCGAGCCGCATCGCAACACAAAGAAGCTGTACAGTTCGCTAACCACTACCGAAAGTTCATACCGGAGTTTGCAAAGGTCACGCACAAGCTACGGCACCTTCTGGCGAAGGACGTTCCTTTCGTATGGACTGAAACTCATGAAGCAACCGTCAACGCCATAAAACACGCCTTGAAGAACCCGCCGATTTTGGCGAGCTTCCGCCCAGACTGCCCGACTAACGTTCACGGCGACGCTTCGCAAACCGGGCTGGGCGCGGTGCTTTCTCAAACTCAAGACGGAAAGGAGCGGATCATAGAGTACGCAAGCAGATCACTAAAAGAGCACGATCGTGGTCTACACTCTAATATGCTCGAGTGCATGGCGCTCCACTGGGCGATCACTGAGAAATTTTCGGTCTACCTGAGAGGAGGCCCTCGTTTTACAGTGTTCACGGACAACTTCAGCTTGCCATACCTCGTCCTGAAGAGAGCCAGCAACCGCAGATTTGCGAGGTGGACGCTCGACTTAGCAGAGTACACCTTCGACGTCAAGCACAAGCTAGGACGCCAGAACTCCGCTGCTGACGCACTCTCGAGGCAGTCGGAATCTGCAGAGGCTTTCGACCAGGGCGTTTCGACCCGAGACCTCCACTGCTACGCAGTAGTGGTCGGCAAACACAGTCGCCTACGCGAGTTTCAGGAGAGGGATACTGACTGCAAAAGATTTCGGGAGGAGGCCAAGCACAAATTTTCAGACTACGAGATCAAAAACGACATACTGGTGAAGAAATCTCTCGAGGGAGGATGGGTCCGTCGGAGGGTGATCATTCCCGCTGCCCTCCGAAGCAGTGTGATGATCGTTTTCCACGACAACAACGGCCACCTAGGCGCGAAGACAAGAGACCTGATCCAGCGAAAGTACTGGTGGCCATCGATGAGAAAAGACATACGCGAGTATGTTGACTCCTGCCACACGTGCCAGACTATCAACGCCCGCACGACACGGAATGAAGGTTGCCTCATCCCACGCGATATTCCTATTGAGCCAAACGCGGTGATATCCCTGGGTCACATGGGTCCACTAAACTAGAAGGGAGACCACATCTTCGTGTGTATCGACCACGCCACGAGATACATGGACGCCATGACCGTACCGAGCACTTCGTCGACGCACTACCTTGACTTCATGACAAACCGGTGGATTCCGCGATTTGGAGTTCCCAGCGTCATTATTACGGACCAAGCCAAGGGATTCGTGAACAAGAAAACCAACCAATTCTATCAAAGACTGGGAATTCCTCATCAGAACTCCCCACCGTACTGGCCACAATCAAACGTACTGATTGAGCGAATGGTAGGAACATTGAAACAGGTGCTACGCAAAATGCTAAACAAGGACAAATGGCAGAAGGAACTACCCCGAGCAACGCTAGCAATCAACGCCACGAAGCATCGTCACAGTGGCCACAGCCCATTTCGACTCATGCACGGCTACGACCCAAAAGTGCCAGGAGAGCTCGACCTCGCCTCTGTCGAGGGAGACATCGACGAGTCTCATAGACTGCACGACTTGGCAAGGGGACGTGCGGAGACAAGAGAGAGGCTACTGCAGAGTCAGCGCAAAACAACGGTCCGATACGACAAGAAGCGGCGAACTCCGAGGTTCATAACGGGGGACCTCGTCCTGCTTGAGTTGAGCACTCGAGGCACATTAGATCCTCGCTATGAAGGTCCGTTCGAGATAACGGCCCTCGTCGGAGGAAACAGGGCCGAGATCCAAAGAGTACCCCACACACCGGGCATGATCAACCAAAAAATCGTCAATGTGGAGCAGCTTCGTAGATATAAGGAGCCGCTCCTAGAAGTTACGGAACCATCGCCATCTAACGACGCGCACGCCTGAGGACAGGCGCAATTTTCGGGAGGGCCGTGTCAGCGGAACTCGAGTTCACACAGCTTAATTCTCCGGCAGCGTCTCATTCTGCGGCAGCGTCTCCTTCTCCGGCAGCGTCTCCGTGCTTGCACGGGAAACGCTGCATTGCGTTAACGTGAACTCCGAGCCCTGAGCGCGTCCACTCGACGCGGTTGCCCATTAGTTCAACGAACATTTAAAAAACAAAAAGTGAACCTTCGAGCCGGGACCGCATAGTAACGCATCGACAGAGAGAGGAGAACGAGCCGAGAGCGAGCCGAGACGCGTGTGGCGTCGGACGTATCCGATCGAGCTCCTGCACCGAGTCCAGTTTCCTTATACATGTAACCTCTGCCGATTCACCTGTAACTTAGCACAATACAGTTTTTTCTTAAAATTTGGACCTTGCCTTGACTACATTCATTCGGACATCGCTGACAAAGGAAAAAGAATGAAGCATTATTATAATAACTATCGTGATTATAATAGTGCTGAGTTTCATCACGAGCTGAGTTTGCCTTCTTTGTTTCTCTTCGATCTTCTTTTTTTCCCTTTTCCCTCTCTTCACTGTTCTCTTTTCCAGTTTATTCCGTGTTTTTATCTAATTATCTTTTTATATCTTTTTCTCCTTTTCTATTTCTCGCTTGCTTCCTTTTTCAGTTTTAATGCGCGGTTTGTGTTGTATTTATTTAGCAATAGTTATGACTTCCGCATTTTAAATCATCATCAAAGCACTCGAACAACAAGAGAAAGAAAGCTTGCGTTGAAATTATCAAGACGCTCGAATGAAGAAGACTTCTCTTGGGCGCGAGCGCGCGCTCAATGTGCTACAGCTATATGCCATAACTCAGCATGTGTGGTTCAGTCTGCGTTACGTCAGGCGACGACGACATCATACGACAGCCTGGCCTCCTAGACTGTTCCGCCCTTTATGTCGTACAGCAAGTGCTTTTCACGGGCCCCCACGCGTCCTATATTACGGAGTACAGCTGGTCTGACGTCACAAAGCTCCAAAACTCTGATTGCTTCGCCATTTTGCACCCCCACTTAACCACCGTCATGTCGATACGAATTTCAGTGTCTGTAGTACGACAGTGCCCTATATACGAAAAAAAAAACCGGGTAGCTATGTGTTGATTGATATGTGGGGTTTAACGTCCCAAAAGCACCGTATGATTATGAAAGACGCCGTAGCGGAGGGCTCCGAAAATTTTGACCACCTGGGGTTCTTTAACGTGCACTCAAACCTGAGCACACGGGCCTACAACATTCCCGCCTCCATCGGAAATGCAGCCGCCGCAGCCGGGATTTGAACCCGCGACCTGCGGGTCAGCAGCCTTAGCCACTAGACCACCGCGACGGGGCAGCCATATGTGTTGAGGCGTGTGAATGAAGGGCGTTCCTTTTCAGGAACATACGCACATGAGGCATCAAAACGCCTTTACCTGTGCCACTCTTGGCCGGCGTCGAGTTCAATAATTCGTGACCGCCGCAAGGCACCAACTGTTTCTCGGCCTAAGGCTATAGCCTATGCACCACGTGCAGCTTGTCACGTAGTCCGCATCGGCCACGTGCGGAAGGAAGCAAGCTACCAACCTATCCCGTTTTCTTCGAAGTCGACCGCTTTGAAGTCACACGCCCGGAGTAGGCCACTGCCCTTGAACGTGCGGTGGCAACCTGCGCACGTCTGCCGTGAACTTTTCTTTTCTCTCTTTTTTTCCTGTCACTATCGTTGCCGCCAAGCGCTGCAAGTCCAAAAGGTTCCCATCGAAAAGCTCCACAAGGGAGTTTCACGGCCAAGGTCAGTGACTGGACGGTGCTGCGAAGGCCGTGATTATATCGTTACGTGATTGCAGTTGGCTCCGATGTATAGGATAATCAGATAATTGAAAAGACAAGAAGGCACACGCGGGTGCATTTTAATGTGTGACGATGCGAGTGTGGCGACGAAACAACTTATGAAGGTTTTTGAATGGAGCCGTTGTCATTGCATTGAAACACCGAGTGTATAGGTGCGTTCTTTATTTTTTCGTTGATTTTTCTAACGAAAACCTGTCAAATAATAAAACGGAAGGATCCCGGTAGGCGAGGACAAGCGCTCTATAGAAGACGTTCGTAAATACATTCATTTTTCTTGACGTGAAGTGAAAGCGTGCCCATATTACTCGTTTTTCTAAGCGCGCTATTATTTTCTTGATCAGCGTTCGTTCCTTGTTTATCGCAATTCCTCATTTTCGATAAATTATAACACTACTGACAATGAGATTTTTACTTTATTGGTAACCTTTTTATATATACTTGCAGGAACGTTTTTCAAGTTTCAGCACCTCATAACGAGCTATATTCTTAGAGGCGCAATGCATGAACTATGTGAACGTTTGTTTTTATATCGAGACCCTGCCCTTGAGAATAGTAATCAGCGATGCCAAAGAAAAACATTTGCGCGGACATCTACTTGCGCGGGTTCCTACTGTACCCTAACGTCACATGGTATGAGCAGCGGCACCAGCCGGTAGTATGGGCACGCGCATGCTTTCGTGACGTATCCTAGTCCGCACGTATCTTCTTCGATCGTCTGCTTCGTCTGCTGCGCGCCGCGCGTGTGGCAACTGTCGCGGCACGAGGGCACAACGTTGGTCTTACACCGTGGCCGCGGCGCACGAAGTCGACCCACGCTTGTGTCAGCGCCGGATCGTACGGGAATCGGTGGAACTTGCAGCTTATTGTCCCCAGTTTCACTGGCACAACACTTCACACAGCAAAATATTCTCTCCATGTCTACAAACTCAAAATAGAACACTTTTGTTGTACTATGATATGCGTATTCGCGCGCAGGTATACTATTCCAGATTCCACTAGTTCGCTTCACAGGTACGCTGGATGACAGTGACCGCACGGCGCGAGTAGGTGATCGAGAAGGCAATGCGCAAGCTGGCATTTTTCGAGTTTTGGTGTCTGACGTCATCACAACTTGGCAGATTGCTGCGTGAAGTCACCAGGATTAGTACTGTAGCCTGACGTCAAGTTAGTGTCGATGTCGTTAGGTGCGCCACTAGAGAATTGACTTTAATGTCAAACTGAAATATCTTATTAGCACTTGCTGAGCATCACACTAGCTCAGAGTTCTCTCTGCGTACAGGAGATTCGTATGGCAAAGTAAAATCGCCACCGAAAAAAAAGGTGTCACTACCCCCTTAAGGTGTGGCACAAAAGAGGATGACAAGTGAGGAAAGTGCATGAAACCACAGCCAATTAAGCGTCACAGCGCAGAAAGTTTTGTTACATCGACTATACATATCAGTGTCCTAAGAAACCACAATTCACAAGGTTGTGGTGCACGCAGTACATTTATAGTAGAACAGAGGCTTACATGCATAACAAAAAGGAAGTCTTTGTTGATTGCAGTGAAGCTTGCCATCAGGACAAGATCAGGCATTATTTAAGTGAAAGCATAAGTGAAATGTGCACATGTAGTGACAAAAGCTTTCGAACACATCACGGCCTGATACAGCTTGGGAAAGTAGTAATCAATGGTATATCGAAGTTTCCAGTCTCAAGTTCACTTCTTCTTCCTGATAAAGCCATTCTGCGTTGATAGCGTCTTTCTGTGGCTGTAAGCACTCGTGTAGAACCGAAGAAACATGACGAGGAAAAACACGCCCTGCGGCAGACCGATTAAGATGTGAGCCCTCGGGTAGCCGCAGTCCACGAACAACGGAATCGACGCGTGGAGCATCAAAACTACGAACTGAAACATCTGTAGCTGCGTCAGATACCGCTTCCACCACAAGTATCGCCGCACCGACGGCCCCAGAAGAGACAACAGGTAGTAAGAGTACATGACTACGTGCACGAAGCTGTTGAAAATGATGGTGAACGCCGCGTGGCCGTCCGCTCCGTAGGCGAGGCCGTACCAGCCGGTGGACACTACCAGGACGTGGTGGGCCACGTGCAGGAGAGACACGTGCGATTCTTTTTTACGCAGAACGAAGAACACGGTATCCAGAAAGTCAAAAACTCTGATCCAGAAGTACATCAAGCAGTGCTTCAACATGCTCATGGTATCTTCGTCGTGCGCTTCGAAGTCAATACCCTGACAGAAGAAGCTGTAGCCACCGCCCAGGTACGTCTTTGAGAGGAAAGCCGCCACGAAGTAACAGTTCAAGAGCACCATTGTGGCGTTGTAGATCACGATGACAGGCTTGATGCTCTCGAATGGCGCGCGTCCTTTCATGAAACGCGGCCCACCTATTTTAACGACGTAAACGTAGCCGAGTACGAGCACGAGCAGGAACGGAACATTGCCGACCAGGAACCAGTCGGTGGTGCGCGGGTCTCTCCTGAAGAAGCTGCTTTGAGTGGCAAAGATCATCGTCGCAGGATCGGCGAAAGCCAAGGCGTATGAGCTGCCGACGTGGGCCGCAGCCGACTACGCTGCTTCTGTCCGTTTAAGGAATACCTACGCATCACACGGAGTTTTCAAATCGTTGTGATGTGATGAGAGGTTGGCGGTAGATGTTAGACCTTATTGTATGAGAGGGAATCGGCGTGAAAGGGAGTCCTAAAGCATTAGTGACCTCTAGAACTGGGCGTGGGCTCGCATCTCATTGAGGGCGCTTTATGAGTCCATGAATTAGCCTCGTTGCGAAGACCATCTTTACACGTGGTACGTTTAAAATACTTTGAATGAGACATGCTGCTTCTCCGGCTGCTGTCGTTAAGGCATAGAAAACGACAGAAAATGCTGCCACGTGTAGCGTATTACACTGGCTCAAAAAGTTGCGCATTAGGAAAGCGCGATGACACCAAGAGCCATAAACATTCCTTTTTGAGCTCTACAGCCAAGGATGGTATCTGAACACTACTACGAACGTCTGCGGAGGAAAATTAACGAGGCGTCGCTCACGCGGGCCGTAAATGGCAAATACCGAAACGCAAATTGTTGGGACTGCGTTTTTCTTTTCTTTTTTTTTTAGTGTGTGTGTGTGTCGGGGGGGGGGGGGCTATTACGGCGCTTGTAGACGCAACCTGCGTCATTGCAGACAGTTATATGTCCCAATAGTTTCAGTTGCAGTCCCGACAATTATAGGAAAGTCTCGGAAGCAGCAAGTGAATGGAGGACACAGGACCTCCGATTCTTGATACTTACGGCATGAAGAACATTATTTAAAGATCCAGACAAGTGCTACCCCTTAGGACGACACCGCACGGCGCTCTTACGTTGCCTCTTGAATTAGAATGGACTGCTGACCAACTCACAGGAAAACAGTGAAGACGAAAACCATGAAAATTTACACTTGTGGGCAGCAGTGCGATACACACAATGTGTTTGGTCAACTAAAGCTGAGCGCAGGCGATAGCACAGCATACGAGGCATTTTGGCATCGGTTAGTTTGTGGGGTTTAACGCCTTGAAGCAACTCAACCTGTTAGAGTGGGAGATAATTTCGATCACCTGGGGTTTTATAACGTGTGCTGACAATGCATACCAGAAGGGCTCCATCTATACACAACCAACGCGGCCGCGATCTAAACCGTGTCTTTCAAGTCAGCAGCTGAGCACCGAAACCATTGAGCCACTGATATGGCAGTAGCCAGAGATTTAAGTTAATCGTCACTTCATAAACTTATCATGGCGAATGCAGACAAGGAGTACGGCCCCGTAGAACATATAGTTAACGTGCAATTGAAAGTGGCCATGCCACTTTATAAGGAATTGAAGCCTCCCAAGCATTTACTCACGCCGTAAACAACTTATCGCTTGGCCGGGGAATGCCTCTGCATGTAAAGTTGTGAACCAGTGGGTATCGCTCAGCAGGATTCGATCCACGTAACCCCATAGCTGAAGCGGACGCCCCTTAGACCTTCTGCTACGGTTCAGGAAGAATGCAAATGGATTTACCATGGACAATCTGTTTCCATTTTTCAATTTAAGCACTGAAATTCACAAAATCAAATCAGCCTCACACTAAACAATGCAAAATGCCTTTGCTTTTTTTCTTTTGTTATGAACGATGAAACTAACTTAGGAGGCATCGGTGATTAATTTCCATGGCTTTGAACACGAGTAATGCGATAACAGCTGGTTCAGAAGACAGACGTGTTCAACAAAGAATACTTTCTTTGCAGCATTTAAATGCACGCAGAGTAATCACACTTCCAGTCTCCGCGGTACGAAAAAGAGCGTACAGTTTACTAAGTGCGAATCATGCCTAGTAGCTAAATGACACCCGTTCATTTAAGCCCTCACGTCCTCCTGCTGTCCCAGCCCCTCCCCTTTCGCTTTGCCTGGCGATAGCTAATTTATGCACGAGCCTGCCCTGCTCAAATACAAACATACGTACACAATGCAGCCCACGTGGACGTAGAGAGAAACCGAGGGAGGGAGGGGGGAGCATGAAAAGGTTAGACTTCGTTCAAACAATATGAGACATTGAGCTTTGGTATATAATGTGCAGCAGTGTAGATTTGTGTGGACATCTCGCTGTGCAGGTCATCAGCCTTTGTTGCGTCAAGATGACGATGCCAGGAGCTGTGGAATATACTTACCTTGACTAGGTCCTGTCTTGCTTAATGTCCCTTGCTAGCAGTAGGCAGGAGTCGCGCATTGTAGACTCGAGTATATACATCCAGCCAACCAAATGCCACAACACTGTTTTCGCTCGTCTATAGTATGCTCACTTACACGCTGAAATACAGGCTGCCCATTCCGCCATAGCCAAGAACGCTGGAGTTGTTCGCCTCCCTCAGCAACATAGTAGCTATGATGTTGATACAACCACTTCGAGGATTGGCAAAGACATACAGTGTGTCAACATGTGCATATTACAATACCATGACTCTCAAATACCTAGCTTGAAACCGTTGAATAGGGGTCGCCAGAACTGCGTCTTAATTAAGCACCGGGGACATTTTGCACAAGCTTGTGCACTTATGATGTAGAAACGAAATGAGAGTCAGAAACACGCACACACATAGCACGTATGTAATGACCGATGATTTACTTTATTTGTGACATAAGAAAAAAACAGCAGCTGTAGTAAAAATACTCAAGATGGATCACATGATGCTGCACCGTAGCTCCCAGTATGGCCTAGACGCTTTAGCGTGTGGCTTATGATCACTTATCACGTGACCTTCATAAGGCATGTAGATCCAAGACGCACAACAAGCCCCGTAGCTGCGAACCTACGACATGCAGACGAATGGGCTCTTACGGTCAGCACTTTCTTCGATAGATTGTTAGCACAGAGCGATTCCACCACAAGCTTATCAAACATGCATCAGGTTAATTATCATAACCCAGCCCTGCCGCGGTGGTCTAGTGGCTAAGGCACTCGGCTGCTGAACCGCATGTCGCGGGATTGAATCCCGGCTGTGGCGGCTGCATTTTCGATGGAGGCGAAAATGCTGTAGGCCCATGTGCTCAGATTTGGGTGCACGTTAAAGAACTCCAGGTGTTCGAAATTTCCGGAGCCTTCCACTAAGGCGTCTTTCACAATCATATGGTGGTTTTGAGAACTTAAACTTCACAAATAAATCAATCATGATTATCGTAACCCCCTTTATGGTGATCATGATATGTGGGATTTAACGTTTCAAAACCACAATATATTAGGACAGGCACCGTGGTGTAGTGCTCCGGTAAATTTGAACATCTTGTGTTCTTTAACGTGCACTGATATGTCACAGTACATGGTCCTCCAGCACTTTGCCTCCACACGTTTCATATTATTCCGTGGCTTGAATACATATACACTGCTCTCTTTTCTAAAGCAGATATTTGCAGGCTTAGCATTCGTTCCGTGACCAGGAACCTCAAAAGCGTGTCTACATTTTGAATTCTCCTCTCGATAGCGCTGAATAACGTACGATGCTGTATTTCACATAACATCACGTGTTATTGTGTTAAGGCACTGTATCAACTGCTTGTGTCCAGCGTTATGACGTGGCGTCGATGCGTGGTATAGTCACGTACCTCACCCTGGTGTTTCAGAATTGATTACGCCAACCATTTTCATTTTGGCAAGCACGAAATATGTGGTGCAAAAGGCATACAAGAAAGTGTTTACATTGGAAAATACAAGCTACACTCTCATGAAAAAACGCTTACCTGCTGCTATTCATGACTATCCTGTTTATGACTAGTCATGACTATCCGCTTATATCTTGCGTCAATGATACATGTTGACTATTTGTCAGACAGTCCTCCCTACCCCGCCTCCCTGAAGGGGGTACAAAGTCATCTCTAAAAGACAGTTGGCGCGCATCTTTAAAAATAATTTTATTTGTGGCAAATCAGGACTTCCAAAAAGTCTAGCAGGTAACTTTTTTTTCTTAGAATATACTACTATAGTTATGTTGACATCTTCAGATGAATTACGGAAGCTTTTCCTGTGTAAGTTAACTTTATTATTGGTTGACCGCCTTAACGAATCATATATATCCACAGGCAAGAGTGCTTAATCTCTAACGGATAATGAAAGCGTATTCTCTAGCGATTTTTATTGACTATCGAATGGCTCTGGAAGGCAATGGTACTCCCTGGCTCATTTGGTCTTCGCTTTGGCGGCTCTATCCTGCGCGGCTTTTCTGCCGTCTATGTAAGCATTGATGTAGAAGCGAAGGAACATGTAGAGGAAGAAGAAGCCCTGCGGCAGCCCAATGAGGATGTGCAAACGTGGGTAGCCACAGTCGATGAACAGTGGGATCACCACATGCACAATGAGGATCACAAACTGAATCATCTGGAACAGGGTCAAGTAACGTTTCCACCACAGGTGCTTCCGAACGGATGGTCCAAAGAGGGACAGAAAGTAGTAGCTGTACATGATTATGTGTACAAAGCTGTTGAAGATCACCGCAAAGGCCGCGTGTCCGTCCGAACCGTAGGCGAGGCCGAACCAACCGTTGAAAACCACAAGGACGTGATGGACCACGTGCAGGGTGGACACGTGCGATTCCTTCTTACGCAACACAAAGAACAGTGTATCCAGAAAATCGGCGGCCCTAACCCAAAAGTACATCCAGTAATGGGCAAGGAGGTTTATGGTGGCTTCGTCTCGGGCTTCGAAGTCGATTCCCTGGCAGATGAAGTTGTAGCCGCCACCCAGGTAGGTCCTGGTGAGAAAGGCTACCGCAAAGTAGCAGTTGGCTAGCACCATGGAGGCGTTGTAGAGCATGATCATGGGTTTGATGTTGTCGAACGGCCGGCGATGCTTCATGAAGCGGGGCCCACCGATCTTGACGACGTAAACGTAAGCCGACAGCAGCAGCACGATGAACTGCACATTGCCGACCAAGGACCAGCCGTCGGTGCGGGGGTCCCTCCTGAGGAGACTTCCATGGGACGAAGCTGCATCCATGACGATGGGTGAGCGGGACCCCAGTTTCTAGCTGGCGGCCGGCAAAGCAGGCCCACGTCGTTTGAGTGCAGAAAATGTCATCACTCGCAGTCTAAAGGAAATCGCTAGAAAATGATGCGACAACTTACTTTGCGAGCAGAAAGCCCGGTTCGGAACAGCACCCCAGGAACATTAAATGCTTGAAAACAGGGCGTGTGCTCGTTTAGAGCCTACGACGTTCCCGGAGGCCGGCTTGTTGGGGTAATTTCCTTTCAAAATACGAGACGCTGGGCCTCTTTATGAACCACCATAGAAATGACATTGTGAACGTTGTGCCAGTCGTTATGGCTAAGTGTGACAAGACGGGGTGGACTCCACTCGTTGCCCGACATGTTGCCACGGGTGCACGAGTAGGCATGCAGTCTGTGCGCGCAAAAAGAAGTGCGCAAGAACGTGAAATTTTCCAAACATTCGCAGACAATACAGTTGTGCACCGCTGCCCAGGAATATGCACCCAGCAGATAGTATCAACAGGAGAGATGCACGAGCCAGGGGGTTAATCAAGAAAGTCAATATGAAGACAGAGGGGCCCACTTTGTTGATTCGGCTGCCTAGGAGGATCGAACTAAGTTCGCAGCGGCGGTAGTGGATAACCAGGAGAAATGCACAAACTGCGCACCATTATTTACACAAGAAAACCTGATATCGCTGCACAAGTTGTCGCTGCATCGGCACTAACAGATGATGAGCACGCGAAAATGCTATGTAGTGACTCGAAAACGGCTATCAGAGCTTTCAGCAGGGGTACTACACCACGGGCTTCGAGGATAGTTGACCCAAGACAGCGGGTTCGAATCCCAGCTGCGGCGGCTGCATATCCGATGGAGGCGGAAATCTTGTAGGCCCGTGTGCTCAGATTTGGGTTCACGTTAAAGAACCCCAGGTGGTCGAAATTTCCGCAGCCCTCCACTACGGCGTCTCTCATAATCATATGGTGGATTTGGGACGTTAAACCCCACACATCAGTTGACCCAAGACAAACAAATTATACACTTACATTCATTTGTCACCAATGTACCTTTGCTCACTTGATGATGTTCCTCTCAATCCGAATGAATCGGCCAACAGAGCCGTCCACCAGTTTACAGACCACGGCGCTTTCTCATGGGTTTGATTCGGCTGGATTGAAACACCTACTGGGACGTACACCCGTGACCTGGATTGGAGAACCTACAAAGACGTACAGTCGTAACATACTATGAAGATCGCCAGACGTCACTACATGGCAAGGAGGAAATGTGTACTTCCTCACATTAGAATAAGCAGCACAGAAGCATTTACACTTAAGAAATTACACACAGTCTGATTATACACCTGCAAAAATGACGGAATGATATAACATTGAAGATATGAATATTGTATGCAAAACATGTAAAAATGAGATATGCACGCTCGAATATACGCTCTGGAAGCGTGAGTGATTAGAAAATGGCATTTTTCATAATTGGTTTTAAGAAATGATTGACTCTCACGATCATATCTGTCAACTCCTGGCAGTCCCGTAGACACGTGGTAGGGCTAGAAGGTTTGACCTGCCGGCTCCGATATGGGACTAGCCGGGCACGTGGTTGCACCATATACAGGACCTGAACAAGAGTTTTTCCATCCCTCGATCCATGCATCTGATTCACTTATTGCTAATAGACAATATTTTGTTCTCTGCCCAATAACGTCCTTCGGGAAGAAACGAACTCTTACTGTAGTTCGGCTGTGTGTCCAGCGAAAGTTGGCGGTCACTCAGACATACCAGCGTGCGTAAATAGCTAACAAAGGGAAGAAAAGCAGGAATAACATAGTAACAGGCTGATCCAAAAAAATTACCGCAGAAGCTGCCCACGCTGAGGTGTCGCAACGCGCAAAGCATTAGCAGGACTGACGTAAGGACACATCAGCAACGTAATCAGATAATGCGTAAAATGTATCAACATTTTACGCATTATTTGATTACGTTGCTACCACGGCGGATAGCACCAAGCGACAGTCGGCCAACATTTATTTGGACTAGCCAACTCAACAGGAGCCAGCACTAGCAAATATTTGCCAGTGCTGGAATTCTTGAAGCCGGATACATTCTATGTCATGTAGGACATGTAATTTATGTTATCATGCATGTTCTCGTATACCAGTTCACAAAAACGGGCCGTAACGGCATCTCATTTACTCCATTCTCATCATTAAATACCTGTATGCATGCATGTCATACCATTTGTGCCACGATATTCCTTACCTTTGTCATACACGCGCTTCATATTATGTACAATCCTGTTAATGAAACATTTAATAAAGCAATTATTGGAGATACCCAGAGGAAGTCCAGATGTAGAGGGCTACATAGATAGACGCAGTTCAAGTGCCGTTAATTTGCCAAAAAATCATCGAGTTCAAAGCATCAGGTTCACTACCACACTCTGAGAAAAGGCACAAGAAAAATATAGAGAAGACAGAGGAGGAAAAGCTAACGTGGTGCTCCTGTAGGGACCATACATCGGCAAAAAATTTCCAGCTCACTCAGCAGACACATACTGCTCTGAGGCCTCACTCGCACTCACCAAAATTTCCTCACCCGGACGCACTCGGAGTCACCAACATCAGCCGGGCTCACCCAGACTGAACTCAGACTCACGGCTTCGCATGCGTGCGAGTGAGTCGACCAAAAAGTCCGTGAGTGTATATAACAAGCTTTCTTTGATCTTGGTGTCAATGCTTTTTAAGGCCGACATCTCGCATAATCCGTGCTCTTTGATATACGTCTTTTGATTTTATACATTCAAATACGAGTTATCAGTAGTCTAGAAAGGACCTTTTATTGTGCAATACCCGACTCATACGACATATTTTATTAGTAACGTTCCGTAAAGAAAGCCTGCGGAAAAACGCCTAGCACCTTTTTTCAATTCACGTCTCTGAGCAATATTAAGGTGGCGGATGAACGTCAGTGCGTTGCGATATGTGTGAACTGAATATAAATATAAGCCAATATAAGGCTGACAGTAATGCTGCAGATGAGTAGACAGGGCCATAGGTTGGAAATTAAAGATGGAGTTGACTGAGAACCACTCAATAAATATATTTTACGCCTGGGGCTCACTCGCACTCACACTCACTAAAGATTTTCTCAACCAGACTGACTCAGGCTCGAACTCACCAAAATATAACTCACCTGGACTCAGTCAGACTCAGACTCACGGACTGACCCGAACCTCTGTGAGCCCCAGTAAGACGACTCATGAGTCAGTTTGCCTTTGCAATGCCGAACTATCGTTGGGGCAGAGCCATACAGTCGAAAGCACCCCATAAGCCCAACATTGCTCTCACGGCCTGTTGAATCGATGACCAGCGGGCACGGTATTTCATTATTGTCCGAGAGCTTATTCGAGTCACTCGGGCGTAGTGGACGCTGATTGTCTTTGCGAGTCCAATCAAGGTGTGTAGAACAAAAGGATGTCTGTGTTCTCCTCGAAGTCACAAACTCACAAGCGGGGCAGTTAGCCATTCCAGTAAGTGCGGAAGAAGTTATTCCCACTTAAGTTAGCCCCGACCGCATTTCACAGACAAGGGATGCCTCTTCTCGGAGCACTACGAGTTTAATAAAGGATTGCAGCAATGGGTCTATAGTCTGTGCATTATTTCTCCCAAGCCCGTAGCCAAAGGGGGTGCCCCAGCACGAGGGAGAGCATCATAAGCAGACCAGGCGGCTTCATCTGCACCGTCATTTCCGTATAGATACTGCAATGGCCCACTATCACTGATAGAAAATGTTGTGCTGCTGCTCTTGAGCACGCCCCGCCGCGATGGTTTAGTGGCTAAGGTACTAGGTTGCTGACCCGCAGGTCGCGGGATCGAATCCCAGCTGTGGCGGCTGCATTTTCAACGGAGACGGTAATGTTTTAGGGCCGTGTGCTCATATCTGGGTGCACGTTAAAGAACCCCAGGTGGTCGAAATTTCCGGAGCCCTCCACTACGGCGTTTCTCACAATCATATGGTGGTTTTGGGACGTTAAACACCACTTATCAATAACCTCTTGAGCGCGCTCCGTAAACCCGTCACGTCCGACTTCCTCGTTTCCAAACACATCCTGTTCCAAACGGAGGTCTTGTTCGCCAGTTTGTGCGCCGAACTTTATTCGCTACGTGGTATATAATATGGCGTTCCGCAATGACCAGGAAGCTGACTCTGAAATGACGACCTCGACTTGAATAACACACTTACAGTTTAAGCTTCTAACCCAGGTTTTTTTCTTTATTCATTAAGTGACCGACCACCGCAATACCATGGTCACTAACGCCACGGCGGCTTAGCGTGTGGCATTGAGCCGCTAAGTGGAAGGTCGTGGGCATGAGGTCGAAGGGCTTAGAAACACCTCGTGTAGTGCGATACATGGGATTTACGGACAAGAAGTACAGGGAGACCATAATTAATGCGTTGTCCTCCACCACGACGCACCTCGCATTCTACCGCAATAATGACTCGTGAAGTCCACCTCGGTGGCAGAGTCGATACAGTGCTCAGCTGCTGACCCCAAGGTCGCACGTTCGATCCCGGCCATGGCGTCATCGCATTTCGAAGGAGCCAAAATGCTATAGAAGCCCGTGTGTCGCGTGATATACGTGCACGTTAAAGTACACCGGGTGACCGAAATTTCCGGAACCCTTTGCTGCGGCGTGTTTCATAATTATATCGTGGTTTTGACGCGTGAACCGTCAGCTATTATTAGCGACACGTAAAACCTGGAAGCCTACTTTATATATTTTACCAGGGTCATCATATAAAAAAAGAGAAGGGGAGGGTGACCTGAGGACTTAGCAAGATTGGAGATGAAATAATAATAATAATAATAATATATATATATATATAGTGTGTGTGTGTTGTGTGTGTCACATATAAATTATCGGGATGACTCAATGTTTGTGAAGCCTAAGGAACACGAGGTGTTTGTTTGTCACTTCTAGAGATATAAAGG